AGCCCTAGCATGCTGCTAGGAATTTCGAAATTTAGATGGTAGAAGGGATAACATACCTCTTGTTGTTATATTGTAATAACAACTCAAATCTTCAATCTTCTTGTCTTTGAAAGCAAGTACCACAAATTTAGTACCTCTAATGGCTCACAAACACCAAAAGCAAATGGAGAGGCAAGAGAGAGAGAGAGAGAGAAAGAGAGAGAGAGAGAGAGAGAGGAGAGGTAGAAAATTGGCTCTAGGACTTCTAGGCATCAAGTGGCCGATTTCCCCTAACCAAGGGGTCCTTAAATAGGGTAGAGATTAGGGTTTCAGTCCTTATCCTTATTTGGTTGCTTGCCCACTAAGCAACCCATAAGATAAGTCTAGAAGCCTTATCCTTGGACGAATTCTAGGGCCTTATCCCCTTGAATTTGTCCACCCTATCCATAGGGCGTCCATTGCCCTAATTTGCATTTATCATATAATTACAATTCAACCCCTCTAGTTTAATTAATTACTTTTGATCACATAATTAGTTATTAATTAATTATTGACCAATATTAATTAAACATATATGATTTCTCTTTTAATATATTATTCTTATAATATATTAATAAATCATAATAACCTCTTTCTCCATTATTTCTCCAGTCAAATTGCTTTGGTGAAGGCAACCCAAAAGGACCATGCACAATTTGGTCAAGTACTTACCAAATATGGTTACGGGCTTAGACACTAATCCAACAAATTCAACAACATTATGTTGACCGTTCTCAAAATCACATGTATTCCTAGGAAGCCAAAGAAGATAAGATCGTTCCAAGAGAGTACAAAATGTAAGGAGATTGATAGTTTTTGGCATGTAAAATATTCAATGTAATCATTGTTTAATTAAATATAATGTAGTGATGGCTTTATGTCTTATGGTTACGATATTCAACAAATGTCACACAATTCGGCGTTTCTGCCATCGGTCGAGGGTGTGACACATTTAGTCAAGTTTTTTAAAAATTAACTTGGATCGTCTTTGTAATGTTTAAAATTTTTATGCTTCATCCTTTGTTAGTTTTAATTTACACATTATGTTCCTTACCAGACATAAAATGACTATGTTGTTATTAGTCTATATGTTATTAGCTCACATGTTTATGGACCACCCTTTTGGCTTTAGCCCATTAGGGTTTTTTCTAAGCTAGTATTTATTCTCCCCTTTCTTCTTTCATGCTGATGTTCGTTTGTTTGTTGGTATTCGTTTGCTGTTGATGTTAGTTTTATGTTGTTGTTTGATCTTTTGCTGTTCAATTGGTTGTTTCTGCTGGTTTGTTGCTCTTCTCATTCTCAGATTGATTATCTATTGTTGTGGTTATTTATACATTTCCAACATGATTGGAAAGGATGATTCCCTTCAGTTAATCAGTCCTCAACTAGATGGAAAGAATTATACATATTGGAGTTATGTTATGAAGAACTTCCCTTGTGGGAAGAATATGTGGGGCTATGTCACTTGGACTAAAGCCAAACCCTCAGTGCCTCAAGTTAAGACTTTTGATTTATTGCTTGATGCTTGGGAGATTGATAACTACAAGGTTACTTGCATTAACAATCCTATTACACAATCTATTGGTATGAATTTGGCTAAATATGACACAACAAAGGAAGTTTGGAATCACTTGGAGAGACTGTATACTCAGTCCAACTTTGCTAAACAATATTAGTTAGATATGGTATTTGTGCCTTTCAACAAAATGACCAGTCAAGATTTCTATGCTGCTATGTCTGATTTGTGAGATCAATTAGCTCTTACCGAATCTAAAGATTTAAAGTATTTTGAGCCTTATATTGCTAGGAGGGAAGAACAATGTTTGGTCCAGTTTTTGATGGCCTTTCATTCTAATTTTGAAGGCCTACGTAGAACGATTCTTAATCACCCCCCTTTCTTTAGTGGATTCTTTTGTTCTTGAGCCGATTGATGAAGACACTCATATCACCTCTCACGCGGATAAAGGGTTTAAAGCGACCTCCATTTCTACTTTCACTCCTACTATGCTTGTTGTTTCCTCTAATTAGTATTGACAAACTCCAAGGGTTTCTTATGATGAATGTTCAAAATCATTGGAAAGCTTAGTGTCCATTGTTAGTTAACAAGGGTAAATCTGGTCAGCCTCAGTCGGGACAACATAATAGGTTTGGTCAACAAAATCTTCAACCATGTTCCTCTGGTACTCCTCCATGGACACCTCGTCCTCCACAGTTTGGTGTTGCTGTTACACCACCAGTTGACATGAAATCTTTTGTCAACATGCCACCATCTGCATTGGATCCTAAGGTTTTTGAGAGTTTCAAATAGTATTTTTCCTCTAATCTCACTTCCATATTTGTATCTATGCCTCATTTTGGACCTACTTCATCCGGTACCATAGGTCCCTAGTTCCTTTTGGGGAGAAGTAGTCTTAACTGCTATTTATGTGATTAATCGTATCCCTACTTCATTGAATTTAGGAATTTCTCCTTTTAAGAAGCTATATGGTCACCTACCAGACTACTCTGCCTTACGAGTTTTTGGATGTACTTGTTTTGTTCTTTGTCCTCATGTTGAAAGGAACAAGTTGGAGCCGAAATCTACTATTTGTGTATTTTTGGGGCATGGTGAAGGACAGAAAGGATACCATTGCTATGATCCTGTGAGTCAAAAGTTATATGTTTCTTGATATGTCACGTTTTTGGAACATATTCCTTTCTACTCAATTGTATTCCTGCTACAACCCACAATGTAACGAAGTCAAACCTTATGCATATTGATCCTTTCGATGAGGAGATAGAGGCTCGAGACCCATCTATTCCACCTGATCCTTCAACTTATGACACACACACTTCTTTAGAGAATTACTCGACTCCTCCTTCTCCCAAGTCTGCTCCTTAAACTGTTGAAACTAAAGATCCACCTCCACCACCACTTCTTAGGAGGTCTACTCGTCATATCAAGTCCACCAAGATTCCAGATTTTTCTTACTCTACATACTCAGGACCACTTGCTTCATTTATAGTGAACATCCGTCATCTGTCCGCACCTGAATCGTATAGAGAAGTTGTATTAAATCCTCTTTGGCAGAATGCTATGGATGAGGAACTCACTACTCTTCATTAGACTCATACATGGTATTTGGTTTCCCTTCCTCCTGGGAAACATATGATTGGTTGTTGTTAGGTGTCTAAGATAAAAAAAAGCCTATGGTTCTGTTGAGCGGTACAAGGCCATATTTGTAGCAAAATGGTATTCCCAACAGTACGATTTTGAGTATGAGGATACCTTTGCCTCAATGGCAAAGATGACAACAATCCATACTATGATTACAATCATATTCGTTCGACAGTGGAAGATCTTTCAAATATATATCAAGAATTCCTTTTTGGATGGTGACCTCCATGAAGAGGTTTATATATCTCCTCCCCCAGGAATTCGGCACCAGTCAGGTGAGGTTTTTCGACTTCGCAAAGCTTTGTATGGTCTCAAGCAAGCACCTCGTGCTTGGTTTGAGAAATTATCCACATTGATTACCACTCTTGGATTTGTCTAGAGTAATCATGATTCGGCTTTGTTTGTTAGATGCTCGAATGCAGGACAAATTGTTTTGTCCTAATATGTGGATGGCATGATTATTACTGGTGATGACCATGCTGGTATTGAGTCTTTGAAGCATGATCCAGCTTATCGATTTGCTATGAAGGATTTGGGCTTACTGTGTTATTTCTTGGGTATTGAGGTTGCTTAGTCTAAGAGATGGTATCTTCTTTCTCAGACTAAATATATATATATCTGACTTGTTTACATCAGCGAGCCTCTCTTACAATCGGACTGTTAATAATCCTCTTGACACCAATGCATGATACTCTCCTACTGATGATGTTCCTTTGTCCGATCCGAATCTTTATCACACTGTTGTGGGAAGTTTGGTTTATCTCACACTTACTCATCCAAATATTGATCATGCTATTCATGTTGTCAGTCAGTTTGTTACTGCTCCTGCCTCTGTTCGTCGGGGAGTTGTACTCCGTATTCTGAGATATCTTCATGGCATTTAGTTTCAGACCCTCTTGTTTTACTCAACGTCTTCTCTTGAGTTATGTTCCTATAGTGATGCTGATTGGGATGCCGATCGTCATGATCGTAAATCCATCATCGGATTTTTTCGTATTTCTTGGAGAGTCGCTCATTTCATGGAAGAGCAAGAAAGAGGACGTTGTCTCTAGATCTTCCACGGATGCTGAGTATCGAGCTATCGCTATGACTACATATGAGATTATCTGGTTATAGTGGCTGTTTGCGGATATGTGAGTTCATATTTCTTCACCTACTCCCCTGCATTATGAAAGAAAATTGCGATACAAATTGCAAAAAAATTTGTTTTCTATGAGCAGACAAAGCACATTGAGATTGATTGTCTCTTCACCCGTCATCACTTACAGCTCGGAACCATATCACTTCCTTTTTTTCATCACCCTTGTAGCATGCGAATATTTTTACGAAGGCGTTGTGACAAACCCTCAATGCTTATTGATGTGACATTGTGAGTTTGAGGGGGGATGTTAGCCTATATGTTATTAGCCTACATGTTTATGGTTCTTTTAGGCTTGAACCCATTAGGTTTTTGTCTTAGCTAGTATCACTACTAGAAAAACAGCCTTTTACGACGCGCAAACCACGACACTCATTAATTTATGTTACGCAAACGAGAGTGACATTAAAAACGTGTCATCTCTTCAGAAAATTTAAGGACTTAGGGCACACATTATTGCACGCCCTTAAATTAGTTCCCTAAGAAAAAAATATTAAAAACACGGAGGGCGCTGTATCTTAAAGGCGTATTCTCTGTAGGTGTCGCTTTATAATTTTTATGAACGCGCGTTTCTTAGTTACAAGTGGGAAAAGAAAAGCCAAACAATTAATAAAGCCCGCTACCCTCTTTGCCCTAAGCGTTTTGATGCATCTTTCATTCTCCTCTCACTGTTGTGCAACTTCTCAATCACAAATCCAAGGTTACAATTTCATCTGCATCTCTCGACTTCATCATATCAATCAAGAAAAAATGCTTCTGATTTCCATTCATCTGCTTCATCTCTGCTGTGATTTCACCTACTTCTTCTCTGATGTTCTTGAGAATACTCGCCAAAAATGTTCTTGCATCATTCCTTCGACCTGCTTCTTTCTGTATTCTTTTCTCCACAATATCTCCAAAGACATTTTCACACGCTTTCTCAAAAAATCTTTTGTTCTCTCTCAAGAACCCTAGCCATCACTCACACCAACATATTTGTAGTGTGTTCTGTTCGGATGTATAGGCATCGATGAAACAAGGAACCATGATATGGAAGGCCACCCAAGTATTAACTCTTCAAGATTCATACCGCCAACACCACCGCAAAGACATTCTCACACGCTTTCTCAAAAAATCCAATCCTTGTCGCCCCCAACACCCCATCTACATCGGACCACCAACACCACCACAAACAAAGGTTCGAATTCCCTTTTCTCACAAGATGGAAGATCAAAAGAAGTTTTATGGTTAATTTTGTACAACCAAGGGTTTGTTTTCATTCCAATTTCCGTTGAGCAAGTCGGTAATTTCTCCATTTATCTCTTCTATTTCAGTTTTTCTCAAATTAGGGCTTGCTATTACCAGTCGCCATCTTCCTGATCATCTTCAACTTCTTGTTTAACAGTCGTCATCAATGGCGGATTACCAAATTCGTTGCTATTCGATTCACAATCATCTTTGACCATTTGACTACCCGACCATTTTTTGAGTCTTCAGAATGGCTGCACATTGTAGTGGAGTCTCAACTTGAAGCACCATTAGGAACCACCATTGATTCAGAATAATACTCGCTCATGGTTCGACAGTTTGGCAGGTTGAGAGCATCTCCATCCCACTCCAATTCTCCATAATTTTCTCCATTTCTTCTCCCATTCCTCTCCAACCCTACCCCATTTCTTCCCCCATTTTGGGGGAAATGAATAGTATAACACCAAATATGGTGTTATACTATTCATTTCCCCCAAAATGGGGACGAACTTTGAGTTGTCGGTTTTAGTCCTTCATTTTTTATATTATACATTTATGATTTTTTTACCTACTAATTATTATTTTAATATAATATTTAATACTTATAATATTGTGTTATATATTAAATTATATTAATTAATTATAAATATAAATTTTCTTGTTGTTTATCAAATTCATATTAAAATTTAAATACATATTGAAAATTTTAAAACACAATTATGTATTTTACAAAAGCTTATAATTACGTATTATAAATTTAATATTATTTATTTAATATTATTGTCATGAAAAAAATATAGACTATATATTTGTTAAAACCAAATTAGTAGAAGGGGTGTATTTGATAATTTATATAAGTTAAAAGGATAGAATATACTTTTTGGGGGTAAAAATGGGGTGAAAAATGGAGTAGGGTTGGAGATGAAACACTGTTTACCCCATTTTTACTCCATTTTTGGAGGAAAAAATGGAAGTGGGTTGGAGATGGTCTGAGACGAGCACAAGGACCATACATGACTCGGGAAGCTTCATCATAAGCTAGGGCAGCTTCAACTGTTGACCCGAAAGTTCCAAGCCATAATCGACTACCTCTATTGGGTTCTCGAATCTCAGCTACCCATTTACCCCATGTTCGTTGTCTTATACCTCTGAAATTACACCTCAAGTTCTCAGGTCCTCCTTTACCTTTCATGCCAAATTCAATTTTATCTATTGGGTTTATTTTCATTAAACTAAATAAAAAAAGAAAAATTCAGTTTTATCAACTAGGTTTATTTCCATTCCAATTTCCATTGAACAAGTCAGTAGTTTCTCCATTTATATCTTGTATTTCAGTTTTTATCAAATTAGGGCATGCCAACTATATGATGAAATGCCTAAGAGAAAAATTACAACCAAAAGTGCATTTTGATTCACTTTCAAACACTTCAACTAGCTGACCATATTACCCTTGTGGTAGTTAACTTTTGTATCATTAGTGAACTGAACTTGGTTCTCTATAATGTGCAGACATGACTGATAGGTACATGTTGCTGATGCATCTAGCTTTGTTCAGCCAGGAAGCATGATTGACAGGTACATTTACTTGTCTACATAAAAAGGATTTAAAGTCTAATGTTTACTAAGTTTGTTAGATATTGTTTGTTATACTGTAGAGAAGCATTACAAAGAGAAAATCCAACACTATTAATGTTCTTTATACCTTCTTTTCTACCAGGGGCGAATTTGACTTAAACTTTTAAAGATGGTAGAAGAGAGAACGCTCCTTCTTGTTCAGCCAGGAAGCATGATTGACAGGTATACCTTCTTTTCTACAGGGGGCGAATTCCTAATTCTTACAAGTATCTTAATATCAGTTATTTTGTTTGTTGAAAGATTCCATGGAGAGTACCTCGGTGAGCATGTTGCTGTCAAGATTCTTAGATCTGAACATTTAAATGATGAAACATTGGGGAATGAATTCTCTCATAAAGTAGCAGATCCAGGATTTATTTATTTATTTAAGCATAACTAATATAAGGAAGGGTAAAGGGTGTACCATGAAGCCTCCTATCTCTGTTTGAGTCTTGTCTCCATATACATGTTAGGAAGCTGTCAATGGTAGAAAATGAAACATAATTACATTTTATTTATAATTTTATTTATTGTTTTATGACAGGTGTGAGTGTGAAGAAGAATGTGATCGTGACAATCTCTTATTGTGCATGGGTTTGCTATGAATTAGATGGTGAAATTGAGGCTCTACTTGAATTGCTGGAAGATGATGATGAAAAAGAGAAACAACTGAAAGAAAACGTTAAAAAATGGCAAAGGAACAAATCAAATGATTTAAATGATGATCACATTGTGGGTCAAGTTGCACTTCAGTTTAGGTCATCGGTTCATTCCACAAATGCAAGGGCAGAAAAAGAAAACGGGAGGTGTGTACTATGTGCTTAAATCTTGATATATCTTGCAAGGGATGTTTTTCTATTTGAATCATAACTTTGATCAGCACATTAGTGTCGATTACCTTCTTTATGTATTTCTCCATCTAGGAGAAAGGAAGAGAAATGAAAAGTATTTTGATCACTATGTGAAAAATTGAGATAGAAACCTATACGTCCTAACCTTTTTATGTTGCAGACTCTAGATATACATCTACTTGTCTCTGTTTACCAAACTTTGATAAAGAGTTGATCTGTGTTGTTTTCAGGCGCATCAAGGATGTGTAAATACTATTTCTTGGAACTCAAAAGGCTCACTATTGATATCTGGATCTGATGATGCTCATGTACATCTTCCTACCTTTTTTCTTCATATGTATTAGCTACCTGTATGATGCCTGAAAACCAAGCAAAATGCAACTAATAATACTTCTTTTTTACATGTAGTTTTTAAAACTAGAGATGTTCCATTCTTTTTCAGGTAAATCTTTGGAGTTATGAAAGCCGCAAGCTTTTGCATTCCATTGATAGTGGTCATAGGAATAATATATTTTGCACAAAGTTTGTTCCTGAAACATCTAATGAGTTGGTAGCATCTGGAGCTGGTGATACTGAAGTAACCCTCCTTCCATTTTGTTCATTGCTTCATTCATTCACATGTCTTCAGAAAATCTTAACTCAAACCTGTAGGTTCGACTATTCAATTTGTCTTGCACACATGAAGATACTGCTAGTAACCTATCAGCTCATTTTCAATGCCACAACAAGAGAATTAAATAATTAGCTGTAAGATATACATATATATATATATATATATATATATATATATATATATATATATATATATATATATTGTTTTCCCCTAACAAATTTACTAATATCATCTTCTTATCATTATGAATTTTCTGTTTCAGGTAGAACCTGGTAATCCGAATGTTGTCTGGAGTGCCAGCGAGGATGCCACTCTGAGACAACATGATCTCCGGGAGGTCACTTCTTGTCCCCCTGCTGAGAACTGTAAAGGACTACTGGAATTTACTTGTATACACTGACTTTAGAGTAGAGATTTTCTAGTAAGTTTTTATTATAATAGTAAAAGTGTTTTTATGTTTTAACAATGGAATTAACTCAGAGTAGAGATTTTCTAGTAAAGTTGTGGGTTCTAGATCCAATCTACTTATTACAAGGGGCATATATGGGCTATTGCTGCAGTCCATAATCTATGGTTAATATAACTAAATATTTTATTTATGATGTTCTTATCAAGCTATTTGAACGGGGTCTAGCTTATGTTGGAACTGATTATCTTTCATTTTCTTTGTTGGATAAATACATTGAATATGAGTATCAACTATAGAAATGGTCGAATCTTGCCATGATTTACACACGAATATTGGTCGAATCAGCAGTTAGATCGGTATTTCAACAGGTGATGGTTGATATATGTTTTTGCAACACAATCTTTCTTTAATTAGTCAAGCCACATCTTTTCATTCTACTTTTTTTAAAACTTTTGACAGCTTTAGGTAATTAGCTGCTAGTCGCCCTTTATCATAACTGAGAACAACTGAAGAACTTGAAGCTGCAGCAAGGGCAAAAGGGGAATTCAAGAATCAAGAAAGTGAGGGCGAGATCCATCCGAATGATGGATTAACAGAAGCTAAATAGTTGGAGACCTATATTCCCTTATAGAAGAGCTTTATAAAAAAACTAAGGATTTCGATTCTAAAATCATAGATTATGAAACAGCCATCAGGAGATGTTTCTTATCACTGATAAAGATAACGAGGTGAAGTTTCTCTTTTGTGATTCCATTAAATGTTTCTTATCATATACTCATTTAAGTCGTAAGTTTTATGGAAAATTGTAGGTTATTAGCACATGGGGAGTGCGTAACAAGATTTTTGCAAAGATAGAAAATTTTGAGGTCGGATGCCCACATTTTTCAATTTGTATGTAATCAAATTGTCTCTTATGTCACACTGGGGAGATTACTTTAATGTCACATTGAAATTTCATCGAATAGTATAGCGATAAACAGAAGAAATAGCAATGTACTTTCATCTATTATTTGTATGAAATTAAATTTTATGCAATGAATTTTATTTTTTTGTATATGGTATTTTATTTTTTATTATGAGACATTAAATACAAAATTTAATTTGAAAATAAGTAAATCTATAAATAATATTTTTTTTAAACATTTAAAATTATGATACGCAAACATGTGTGTCATCTTCATTTATGACATGGCCTTTCTTGACAGGGCCTTCCTTGATACGCATTGCGTGTCGTAAACGCGTGTCGTAACTGCGCGTCATAAATGTGCGTCGTCTATAGACAACGCGCAAAAGCACGTCATCTCTCTTTATGATAGGGCCTTCCTTGACACGCATTTGCACGTTGTCTAAGCCTTTTATGATGCGCAATGAGCGTCGTAAAAGGCTGTTTTTCTAGTAGTGTATTTATTCTACCCTTTCTTCTTTGTAGCATTTATGTTTTTCATTGAGAACCTTGTGTAACGAAAGTTTAGAGTGTAGTCTCACCTACGCGTGGATATAAAGAACATCGAAAATGGATTTCGTATGAGGAAGATATGAATTTTTGAAGTTTACTAAATATTTTCGATATTTAATATAAATATAAATTATCCGATATTATCCAGAGGGGGGGGGGGGGAGTCAACAAGCTGATCCTCATTACGCCCAGCGTAATTTCAGATTAAGCCCAACGTAAATCGAAGTTCCATCCCCTATAAAAGGATGTCGAGGGCAACCGAGTTCTTTGCTCATTTCTTCCCCTTCTCTCGTGTTTTTGCATCGTTTTTCGTGCAAGAATTATCCTGAAGCCCCGGTATCATTCCCGAGCCCCGAAGCAAGTCCCGAAGCCCTGAAAATCCCGCGAAGTGCAATTCTCAAGCCGAAGTTCTGCCTGCGAGGAGTCCGGTTTTTGTGAAGATCTTCTAGATCTACCGAAGAATACTACTTCTACAAGCCGTAGTGCTGTCCGATCATCTTCTGATCAAGTGAGTGTGTGGTTACTTTCTTCTAACGCATAATTATGAAGTATTTTATACGAAATATGTGTTATCTGTATATTTTGTGTTATATGTGTGAATGTATATTCACTTTCTTGTATCTCATAGATATGATTTATTCTCTATGAAATACGTGTTATGTGTATGTGTCTCATCTGTTGTTTTGGAATATCTATTGAATGAGAATGCTATACAGGTTTTAAACTATGTATAAAAATATATATTTTTATCTACTAATATGTCGGGTAGAACATGGGTAGATAGCTGACGTGTGATAAACAGATGAGAGACCTCGATGTTGTTTTTGATTCAGTCATCTAGCGGAGTTTAGATGACGACCACATACTTTTCTAGACAGTCATGTGGAACGCTAGCAGGTTCGCCACCTGTAGGTGTTAATGAACTTGGGTGTTCATTCGCTGTATTCCATCCCCCTCATGATTGCCTTATTTGACATATATTGCCGGGAAACCCCCGAATGCATGTGTTGTCGCCCCGATGAAATATTCTTAGACTAGGTCCCTTATGTTAGTTATTTTAGGGACGTAAAGTAAGAATAACGGGAATGGGTAATTGGGTTATTGTTAGATGGTGGAATTAAATATAATTATTTATTGCGGGTTGAAAACCCTATACGCTCACCAAGCTCCCAAGCCTGACCCACTCAGTTTATTTGTATTACAGGAAGTGGCGCAAGGGCATAAGATGGATGAATCATCAAGTTGTTTTGTTTACAAGTCTGTATATGTATATATTTGTTGAATGACTTGTAATGTTATTGTTTATGCTTTATGGTCTGTATCGGAACATGACATCCCGAGTTTTGATTATATAATGAAAATACATTTCTTTATGAAATGCTTTGATAAATATTATTTTATCATACTTTGTTTTTGGGAACAAATTTCGCAACTCTTTCAAATCAAAAGGATTTACTCTGATATTATTTTAAAAGCATAAATGAAAATCGGTCTTTTCTGACCGAGATTTTAGGGATGTCACACCTTGTAACTTCTCTCTTTCAATAACCATATGGTAATATTATCAATTGTCATCACTATTTTATTTAAAACATAAATCTTCTAGCCTTAATGAAAACGTTCTTCAGCCAAAGGACACACCTTTCTTTTTATGACATTATACATTTTTTTCTATCACTACACATTTATAGAAGTCTTTTGTATTTTTATTATTATTATTATAATACTAGATTATAACCCGCGTTAAATGCGGGGAACGTATAAAAAACATACAAGTGTCTACAGATATTGCATAATAATTATAAAAAAAACATTATGGTTATTGGTATTATTGAAATGTGTAGAAGATACATTGAAATCGATAAATATCTATAATCGTTGAAGGACCTCTTTGTATACAACTTTTTTTGTTTTATTAGTTGAGTGACCTTCTTCATCACATATGGTTTTGATATTGTTATATAAGCATAAGTATTCTAATTAGACGTTCCTTCCATACTGAGGTTACTAAATTTGAGCCTATAATGTTAACCAATATACCGTTTTTTTCACTGCATTAAATATTGACAACTATTTCATTTATTCAAATAAAGTCATAGAGTATAATTTATGGAATGTTAAATGTTATATGGATTTAATTTTAGTATATCATCAACGGAAATTCTTTTCTAAATCATGATTGATTTATTTTAAATTGATTATGAATATAAGTGCTGGCTTTTATGTTTGTTCTTATTTATTTAGTGTTCGCAAGAACTTTGCATTAGTCTTGGTGCAACTTTGAATAATTTTAGTATATCATCAATGTAATTTAGTATATCTTTCAATTATATGAAATATCAAATAATGACATTTCATTAGTATTGTGATAATTTAGTTTATATATTACATTTTTACTAATCTTAACAATCTTATTTTTTTTCTAATAACCGTAGTGTTTTTACTAATTGTACTTACAAATCTCCTAATATATTATAATTTTTATCTTACTTTATAATTTTTCATAACTATATTATTTTCAAGATTTGTTGTCTTGATAGTTTTTTTATTCTATTCAATTTTATATTTCATTATACAACATTATAGTTTGTATGTATTCTGAAACTTTATTTTAAAAATGCTTAATGTTTACATCATATTTTTTTAATAAACTCGTGTAATAATAATGGGATATATATCTAGTTTGAATTAACATTTACTTCATTCACTAAATTAAGTTCCTCATTAAACGAATATATTTTGGAAAATAATAATTATAATGTGGCAACATTAATATACTTTTAGAGGGAAAAAATCAGGATCATTAAAAAGATTTATATAAGGAAAATACAAATTTAACTTGGATAAAATTACTGACAAAAATTATTTTAGAGGAAATTGTATTTTGTAAAGTATAATACTATGACAAAATTCAAAATACGTATATTGTTCTTTAAATTTATAAATTTTGTTGTTACTATATAAATATAAAACAAAGTACGTTGGTATGTTAAACAAAAAATAATAATTTCAATGTATGTAACTAAACAATGGAATTTGAAGATGAAAATGTAAAACTTAAAAGTATGAAGACACATGATAAAAAAATGTTTGAAAGAGCTCTAACAACATTTGATCAATTTGTTAGTGAGAAGATTATAAATGAACCATTTGATAATGATCAACGAATTATTTCCTATATGAATCAAGGTGGATTCTATAATTAGTGGATTTGAAATGTTTTAAGTAATGCTAAAATAAACATGTATATTGAACTGTAGATGAACATGTCATTTTCATGCAAACCACATGTTTTATGGTATCATGTAGAAAAATACTTTAGAAAATAAATTTTTTTAAACACATATACTTAACTTATATCCTAATCAACCAGGTTCATCAATCATTCCTCCCTTGAATTTTCAATATTCACTTTCATGAGATTACTCGACACAACCCGACTAAGAAAATCTGGAATAAAAAAAATAAATGTTTTTGTATTATAGATGTGTAGTACAATAAATATTTACGTGTACATAAGATAGAATGTTAAAAT